CTATCTCTATCTCTTACCCCAGTAACAAAACATCCCCTAATCGTGCCACCGTATGTGAAATATATTTCCTCGCTGCTGAACCTCCACATAATGCTGCATCCGCGAAAGAGAAAATGCAAGACATAGTAACATTGTGACCGAGATTCAGATCGGTGTACACGTCGCAGTTGGCGTCGTAAAACGACTGTTATTCCGCGAGCGTAGAAATGCGTCATCGAGCGGTCATTACAGGAGCTTCACGATTGCTTCGGGAGCAGTAAAAGCCGTGCACCGAGCACGGAAACAAACCGTAAGCGGCGTTTATGGTGTAGCAGAGGGTGCGGCGCATCGATCCGTTCTCAATGCATGAAATTAAGACGTTCCAACGGCGTTATCAACGCACCAGTTTATCGCTCGATCGTACGTCCGTGACTGGGAAATCTGCAATGCGGATTCCGCAGACTCCACGCGGATTCCTGCTCGTCCGAATGCACGTTGAATCGTGGAAAAATTATGGTTCGCCGGGGAACACCGACCGCTCTCGTCGGAAGTTGCTTCTTCACGCGATGCCGCAAACTTTCTGCCGCTGTTTCCGTCCGGTAAAATGTAAATTCTCCGTTGAGTAGACTGTCTGTTTTGAGATAGCGTGCTTTTGTTCGGCCGTTCGATGAACTTTCACGGAAAAAAATTCATGACGAAAGCGTCTTAATCTTAAGTCGAACCGAAACAAAAGTATTATGGATGGTTTATTTACTTCTTCTTCGATCGATATATTTTCAAGATTTTAAGAGATTTTGCTTTTGAACAAAGAGCGCATAGCAACTGGGCTAAAACCATCATAAAGCAAGGGGTTAAGAAGCTTCTAGCGTTGAATCTTTAAGACCAAAAACTCTGGGAAACTCAAAGGGCAGTAGCTTTTAACGATAGAAGCCGGGGGATTTTAAGATTCTTGCCTTTTCGACGTCCAAGGAAATTGTACGTTTGAATGCAGACTTCAAACGAAATTGATTCTGACTGATCAATAACAGATGTAGACGCGATGAGCATAATTCTACGTTCAACAGTGAAATGGTCAACTGACAGGTTCTTGAACTTCTTATTATAACATTCACTATTTACGATGCTTTATTTGAGGTACGTGTCGATTTTCATGAAGACAGATATTTGATCTCGACTCAATTTTTAACCCCTTGCCGTACAATTTATTTGTCAGGTCAGTCAAAACTATTCATAGGCATAATATTTAAACGAACAATAAAAATTAAAATGTTGTGAATATTTTATATTCAGCGATTTTTTATAATACAAATTATAGTTGGACGATTTGTTATATTGGAGCTGTGAGTGCATCACGAGTGAGACTCCTCAAAGTACCCAAAGGGGTTAATTTCAAATGAAGTACAAAGGCAGGTATTTTTCGTACATAACGTATTGCAAGCTTAACCTCCGAGTACAATGAACAAGAAATAGCCTAACGAAAATCAATCTCAGCAGACCGTAGTCCCGGACGTTTACGACCGCGCTATATTTCGTAGCGAGCATTCCAACCCCAAAAAACAGGTGCAAGCCTTAACATCGTTTCAGAGCAAAGAAGGAAATTCATTTTCTTGAATTCCTGATCCCTCACCGACAGTTCCAAGAGTCGCGAGATACGAAGAAGAGAATACAAAGGGCACGGTCAGAGAGAAAGAAGACGGGCAATGAAAAAAGAAGCCGAAAGAGGCGTAGGCGAAGAGCCGTGTCGAGATGGTGGTGGAAAGTGCAAGCAAGCAAAAGCAAAGAGAGTCTACATCACCTTGCGTTCCACTTGACGGCACTTCTGCGTCGTCGACCGCTGTTTCTTTCTCTTTCCGGCGCTCGCATCCTCTTTTCCAGCGTTTCTCCGTCGCGACGACGAGCCTCGACCGAGCGCACGAAACTTTCGAGCTTCGAATCGACGCGATGGCTTAAGCCGCCTGCCACGCATCGACGATCACGAAAAGACTACGAGTTTCCTCGTTTTCGCCTCTATATCAACCGCGGAATTCTTGCTCTTCTGGCTTCGAATTAAGCGATCGGTTTACCCTGCCTCTTCGCACGATCTGATTAATCGCTTCTAACTCCTTTCATTTTCACTTGATATCTGTGTTTAACGAATACATTTGTCGAGTAATTACTTCACGAATAAAGTCGACTTTATTTTAAATATACTTGTGACATAATACATACGACATGTGAACATAAGAATACTCGAAAGAAAATAGTGATTTATATTCCACGTGCTGCTGGTTCGCTGACATCGGAAACAAAGAGTGGGTTGGCAGTCTTCAAGAAAGAAAATGTCAGAAAGACAATGCTGTCAGAAGGGATTTCACAATAATATTCACAGCGAATTATTCTGTTCTTCAATTCAACATCATGGGTCTGTACCTTTAATATAAAAAAATACATAAACCTTACGAAATCTCATAGCAAGTATTATTGTTCTTAAACTTTGTGATGCTGCAAAGTAAAAATTCCACAACAGTAAACTTAAGAAGCAAACTTATAATTATTTGTACCAATTTATGACAAATTTCTATACGTAATTTTAATTTCACTCGACATTTCATCTCCCTTTAATTCTATTATTCATCCCTCGATTTCTATCGAAACGAGGTTCTCGTTTATCCGAAAAGTTCACCCTCTTCCGCAAGCCTCTCAACATGGCGAGCACGCGTCGATCGCAGAACGAAAAGCACGACGTTACGTGGTCGACGCATTCTTCGGCAGTCGCCATCGACCACCGTTTCGTTTTCCGAGTCTCACCAGTCCTCAGAAAAAGCCCGACTCGGTCCGAGTGATTTCTTTCTCGATAACGCGTGTCACGTTTCCTGCTATTGCGACAAGGGACTGCTCCCGGAATACCATTATTTCTCGTATTATTTTTCGATGATACGCTCGGTGGATCACGGTGTAGCCGTTAGAGCGAAGTCGTTTCAGGAGCTCCATTTCGATGTACAATTTCGAGAAGAAAAATATTTTCGCGACACGATTCCACCTTGTGGAACAATCCTAACTTGTTTTTCTTCGCGTAGATACCTTTCGATCGAGGATTTTATTCTTGTAATAAAAGTAATAGTGTAATTAATTTCTGGAGTTTCTTGGGTAGGTTAGGTTCAGATGGGTAAGCAGAAAAATTGACTAGTTGGAGTAATATTTTAAATAGAATTTTTTAAAGTATAATTTATTTATGAAGTTTCTTGGTTAGGTTAGGTTCAGAAGGGTAAGCAAAAAAATTGACTAGTTGGAGTAATATTTTAAATAGAAATTTTTAAAGTATAATTAATTTTTGAAGTTTCTTAGTTCATAAGGGTAAACAAAAAAATTGACTAGTAGTTGGAGTAATATTTTAAATAAAAATTTTAAAAGTATAATTAATTATTGGAGATAAAAGTAATATAAGAGCGATACACGAATTAGCATTAACATTTGTCTCCATCTAGCGATGTTAATCATCATTATTCGTTCCTTCTTGTGTTCGCATGTTTCGATTCAATTTTGTTCTCTTTATATTCTTCTCACGTAATTCTGATTATATTTTATATCGTTCTTGAATAAATAGTTTTTCTGTTTTGTACATAATTAATTACGACACTTTATTCGTCCACGGATCTCCTCACCTTCAACATTAATTTCTGAAGTTTCTTAGTTCATAAGGGTAAACAAAAAAATTGACCAGTAGTTGGAGTAATATTTCAAATAGAAATTTTAAAAGTATAATTAATTTCTGAAGTTTCTTAGTTCAGGAGGGTAAACAAAAAAATTGACTAGTAGTTGGAGTAACATTTCAAATAAAAATTTTTATGCTGACTTACATAACACTTATACTGTAAAAACTTTAAAAAGTACACCTATCATCCCCATTAAACACGAATTTCTTTAACTTGAAGCTCACATGAAATTTATATAACAACCTCGCTGAAATTCAAGAAAAATGGCGTGCGAACAATTAAAATCCCCATGCTCAAATTTGTCGAGATGCACCTCTAAATAAATATGAGACTCGTTTCGGAGGAAAAACCTCGTTTGCAAGAAGATAAGGGTCACGCATCCGGGCAGAGGGCAAGAGCGAGTAGTTAAAAATTGCTTTCCTCTCTAGGAAGGTATATCCCTAAGAATTGTTCCCTGCCTCTCCATTCACCGATTTCGAATGCAATCATTTTCCTGTTTCCTCCCCTCAGTCAAACGTGCACTGCATCGTTTCGTGTATTTTTCTTTTCAAACCTCTGTTCCCTTTGACGACTTTCGTCTACCAGTTGATGGATTAGTTTTGCTCGGCTTATGGAACGACCGCAACTTTTCGTCTTTGAAATGTTTGCGCTCTTTTCGCTGTGTAATTGCTTTTCGATTCTCAGCGAGAAAACCTGTCGTGTTATTTCGCGATTTCACGCGCTGCGATCGTTTGCGATATAATCATCTCACTTTCAAATCCATTTCGAATATCTCCGTTAGCGAGTAGGAAAATATTGCTATCTAATTAATGAAAGATATTTTACTTCAAATATTTTATATTTTACTTCAAAGAAATTTCAGAATATAGAAATTGTAAGTTATTTTCGTTCCAATACTTCTTCTACTCTTAGCTCGAATTATACGAAGATAAAAGCAATTATATTACGTAAATTATAAAGAAAGACTAACTTCCATCAATATTAACCTCTGTTCAAGGAATAAATGGCGCCATAAGAAGCCCTGTGTGCGCAGTCTACTGCGCAAGAAACGTGCAAGCAACTTGTCGAGTAAATATTTCTAGTTTACTTACTAAACATTTCTTAGTACCATAAACTGTTAAGTACTCTCTCAGAAATTCAAGAATTCGCTCGAAAGTAAAAGAAACGATTTCACAGTTCCCTGAAACGAGGATATCCCATTTTTTTCTGGTCAAGAAGACAGGTCAGAGAATCGATTGCCCGTTTGTCCGAGGACATTTTTCTCTTTCGGAGACGAGAAAACAATCCCTTAAGTGGCGCGTTTCCATCAGAGATATTAACGTCACTCACCTGACAGCAGGAAGGAAAGCCGGGCAGGACGAGGCTGGCAGAAATCTGTAACAACACAAGGGAATCCTGAATTATTATACCAGGACGGAACTTTGCTGTCCGGCTTTAATCATCGTGGTGAATAATGACTCGGTTGCGCCTAAACTGGCGTGCTGTTTCTCTACTCGTGTGGTCTCTTCGTTGGGAAATTACAAGGACAAATTAGGGGGAAGAATGTATCGAACCTTTGTTTAACTGAAAATTATTAACAGGTTCCTCACCTTTTATTTTTTAAAAACATAAGATTAAAAGAACGAAAATAAAACAGAACCTAACATGAAATTTAAGTTTGAATTGTCTGCTTGCTGCAGGGGGTGAATATTTTCTATTCAACAATGTTATTGCTGCTGTCACATCGATGTCCATCTTTTATTTTTAAGAAACAATAAGAAAAAAGGAAGAAAATAATACAGGATCTAATATGAAATTTAAGTTTCAATTGTCTGACTGCTGCAGGGGTGAATATTTTTCATTCGACAATAAAAATGTTGCTGTCAAGTATTCATGGCATTGATGCTCATTTTTTATTTTTAAGAAATATGACAAGATTAAAAAGAATCAAAATAGTACAAGGTTTAATATGAAATTTAAATTTGAATCGTTTCACTGCTGCAGGGGGTAATATTTTTTACTTGACAATGCTATTGCTGCTGTCAGATGACATTGATGTTCGTCTTTTATTTTAAAAAACATAATAAGAAAACAGAATGAAAATAATACAGGATCTAATATGAAATTTAAGTTTCAATTGTCTGACTGCTGCAGGGGTGAATATTTTTCATTCGACAATAAAAATGTTGCTGTCAAGTATTCATGGCATTGATGCTCATTTTTTATTTTTAAGAAATATGACAAGATTAAAAAGAATCAAAATAGTACAAGGTTTAATATGAAATTTAAATTTGAATCGTTTCACTGCTGCAGGGGGTAATATTTTTTACTTGACAATGCTATTGCTGCTGTCAGATGACATTGATGTTCATCTTTCATTTTAAAAAATATAATAAGAAAGCAGAACGAAAATAATACAAGGTTTAACATGAAATTTAAGTTACAATTGTCTTAGTGCTGCAGGGGGTGAATGTTTTTCATTGGACAATATACTTGCTGCTGTCAAGTATTCATGTCATAAATACTCATTTTTTATTTTTAAGAAATATGACAAGATTAAAAAGAATCAAAATAATACAAGCTTTAACATGAAATTTAAATTTGCATTGTTTTATTGCTGCAAGGGTAATATTTTTTATTTGACAATGTTATTGCTGCTGTCAGATGACATTGATGTTCATCTTTCATTTTAAAAAAACATAATAAGAAAACAAAATTAAAATAATGCAGAATCTAACATGAAATTTAAGTTTCAATTGTCTGACAGCTGCAGGGGGTGAATTTTTCATTCCACAATAAAATTGCTGCTGTCAAGTATTCATAACATCAATGCTAATTTTTTATTCTTAAGAAACACACTAATTGTAAGATTAAAAGGATAAAAGCAATAAAAGTTTAAACATGAAATTTAAACTTGAATCATTTCACTGCTGCAGGGGGTAATATTTTTTATTTGTCGATATTATTGCTGCTGTCAGATGACATCAATGTTCGTTTTTCATTTTTAAGAAACATAAGATTAAAAGAATGAAAATAATACAGGATTTAACATGAAATTTAAATTTGAATCACTTCACTGCAACAGGGGTTAATATTTTTCCTTTGACACTTGCGTGTAAGTTCTAAATTACAACCGCCTACATAAACTTATGTTTCTCTAACGATTCGATCAAAAGCGTTAAACACAGTAGCACGTAAAAACCCGGCAATTAGAAAGAATTTTCTTATCCGGAAATTGTGTGCACGCGCAACGAGAAGTCGAAGAATGTCCGGTTACAGCGTCGCGTGCAATCCGAGCATTAACGCGACGTCGTGTTCCGGTGTGTAGCACACTCGATTTAACTGCGTTTAGTTTTAAAGCCGGGTGCAGACCATTTCCTCCCTCGGCGATACATCGAGTTCCACTTCCCGTTTCCACCTGGCGAACATTAACGCCCGAAGTCCGCTAATGTGCGTTCTCTGTCATGAAAACTGGCTTAAAACCGACCCGACGTCCGACAGTCTGTTTCCTCTCGCGTCATCCTACGATCCTTTTCCGTTTCGGGGAGGCGTTAACGGTGATTTTGATCTGTTTCGCTCTGAAAATTGTATCTTCATCCGTCAAGGGATCGTTCATTAAGAGAGATTAATTGATTCGATTGTGTGGTGGGTCTTTGTTGCCCGAGGGCAAAATTAAATTCTTACCCCTGGATTTAAAAATCCAGGACTTTTAAAAATCAGAACTCTCGTAATCTCGTAATAAAAATTGAAACTCGCAGTTAAAAATTTGTGACTACAACCTTAAAATCCGAAGAAGTATTGAGATAATAAAAGGATCATCCAGATCGAAAGGAACGAGCGCAGGTAAAACGCCCGTCAGGATATAGTTTGACCAAAGTTGTCTCAAAGCACCTTACGACCCTCTATCCTCATCTCTCGATCGAAACCCCAGACAGGGTTGAAAAGGTGAAAACCCGAAACGATTCAAGGAAACTGCCAACTCGATTGATATCTGCTGAATGTACGGTCGATTCGATTCCGTCCTGAACGCTTTCCGTGGCGTGTCCTTTTTCGGAGATGCACGCTATAAAAGATTACACGCGTCAGAGAACTTCTGTTCTCGATTCGTGGACGAATCGCTCCGAGTCCTCGATGGCGCAATTAAACAAACGGAGGAATGGAAATTATGCCGGTCCCGCGTCTCAGACGACAGGACGAGATGGAAATTCCGCGATCGAAGTAATCCGCGACACCTCGGAAGATCCTTCGATGGGAATTCCTGAGGAGCCAGGACGGAAGGCGATTCTATCGCCGACGCGTCGGTATGCATCGTTATCGATCAACCGGCAATGGTGTCGATCGTTTGCGATTCAAGACTTGTTTCACACGGTCCTGGAATTTTGATAATTAACGACATTTATATATAGGACGTTTTGTTATTAAATGGAATTGTGGTCTTGCATATAACCAATTGAGATTAACAATTTATTCACCGAACCAGAAATGCATATCCAATTATGTAACATTATAATTTATTTAGGGATTTTATTACTATATTCACTGCAATATAATCAATGCTAGTACAAAATGTTTAACGACCTTGACTGTGACTTTGAATATACTCTTTGCATTTGGATGCATTTTTACTGTGGATAGATGGCTACTTTTAAACCTTCATTTGAAAAATTTTATGACATCAGAAATTTTAATACGATTGCTAGTACAAAATATTTATCAACGACCTTGACTGTGACTTTGAATATACTCCTTGCACTCGAATGCATTTTTGCTGCAGGTAGATGGCTACTTTTAAACCTTTATTTGAAAAATTTCATGAATTCAGGAATTTTAATACGATTGCTAGTAAAAAATGTTTATCAACGACCTTGACTGTGACTTTGAATATACTCTTTGCACTTGGATGCATTTTTGTTGTAGGTAGATAGCTACTTTTAAACCTTCATTTGAAAAATTTCATGAATTCAGAAATTTTAATATGATTGCTAGTACAAAATATTTATCAACGACCTTGACTGTGACTTTGAATATACTCCTTGCACTTGAATGCATTTTTGCTGCAGGTAGATGGCTACTTTTAAACCTTCATTTGAAAAATTTCATGACTTCTTTTGAAGTTATCATTTTCCCTTATAAAGTACCTATTCTATTGTTTTACCTATTTAATTGTATTAACACCTTGTACTTTGACGAGTCTTATTTGTGACGCAGTCACAGTTCAAATATAACAAACTTTACTCAAATTTTGAATACTCTTCAATCAAAATCGAAGTTCAACTATAACTTGCATTATCAAGGATCATTGAATATAAAATGCTCATAAAATTTTAATTTAATAGTTAGTTTTAATATTATAACTATGAATAGTAGTCTTAATATTATAACTATGAATAGTTAGTTTTAACTGACGCACCTGACAAATAAATTGTAGTAGTTCAATTAAATGACGAGTTTGAATAACCTGTCCAAATTTTATGCATTCGATTTCAAATAATTACCTTATCGTTTAATTCCCGTGCGTGCAAAAGGACTCGTTGCAGAGTTTAAATTACAGAGGCAATCGATAACGACACAAATTCGAGCAAACGTTACCGGCAAACAATCGTTTACAGCCGCGACGCATAATTTTCCGTGGAACGAGACGCGTCAGTTATCCGCGGAATTTAAAAAGGCGCTCCCGTTCTCGTTCGAGCCACCATGAAATTCCGCTTTGCTCTCGGTGTGGCCCGTTGCAATTCCAAAGTCTACGCGAGCTTCGAGAGAACTCAGTCTCAGCCACGACGTTTCGTGCCGGTCCAAGCTCTCGAGGAATTTTTATTGAACCTCTCCGTAGGGAGAGACAGAGAGAAAGGAGAAGGCGACGTCCCAGCGAGCGATGTCATCGATTTTGCATCAGGAAGCAGTCCTCGATGAAGAAACGCTATGGATCTGACTCGCCTTCCAGACAACTTAATTAAGAAACGTTTAACCTATGCTGACCCCTCGCGTACAGGGTGTGATATAAATATCTGCGAAACCATTCTTGCGAATCATTCTCCGTCAGGAATTATCGAATTTCCGTAGAACCGTAATTATCGAATTGTGATTCGATTTGTAATTACAATTGTAAAGAGTACGAAACGCAATTATAATGAGCTCGATTCTATAGCTGTCTATTCTATAAATGTCCCCGACAGAATAAAGCGAAAATTCTTTGACAAGTAGCAATTTACGGCTTTGTTTTCGGTGCATTGTAAAATCGGGGAATGAATTTTTGTTTGCTCTGGCACAGAGAGTTTCGGGATTGTATGCTTATTTTGGGATACACTGTGTACGCATAGTCGGTGGGGCCGCCCTTTTGCCACCCTTAATAAACGCGTGCTCGGGTCGATGCACCGGGAAACGAGCGAGTTAACTGG